AAACAAACATCAATGCTAGATAGTGAACAATAGGAGTGATTAAAACAGAGTGATCAATGATGAAAAGCATCTCCTTGTCCAAATAGAAATTATCTCACAGATATTGTAATGTATAGTACAGTATGGAATTGGGTTATTCCGATGAACAGAAAAGTGATGAAGAATGAAAAAGGACATGTGTGTCTGAATTTAACTCCTGCGCTACCACCACATCGACACTGGTGTGGCCCCGGCCTTTTCATCTCATTGCTAGTTTGGAACTTCAGACCAGTTTGGATGTTTCTGCAGAACACAAGGAAAAGATAGCCTTTCAAATGTAATTAGGGTGTTATAAAGCACCCTAAAATAGATTTTACCTATTGGTTGTGACAGGTTATTGGTATACAAACTCAACTAATCAAATCCACAAAAATTAGCCATTATCCATCCTTCGTTGTATGGATTTGTCAGGGAAGGGGAAAGTCCATGGAAAAATTACTAGTTGATAGAACAGACAGTGGACATTTTGCTAGCTGTACATTCTGAATAACTAGGGATTTTTCCCCATCATGATCTCTTTTGTTTGTTTGTTTGTTTGTTTGTTTGTTTGTTTGTTTGTTTTATGAAATACATCCATACATGTACTTACTAAAACTGGACCATATGTCAATAACAGAGTTAGAATCTAAGACCATAAGAATGATAGGGGCCTGGGAGTTTAACTTGGTTCATAGAATGCATGCTAGAAGCCCTAGGTTTACACACACACACACACACACACACACTCCCATAAACTGGGTGTGGTAGCACACACTAGTAATCCATATGCTTAGTGGGAGATAGAAGCAGGAGAACTTAGAAGTTCAAGGGCATTCTTGGCTATGTAGAGAATTTGAGGCTAACCTGGATTGTATGAGACCTCACCTTTAAAAAAAATTAATAAAAATAAAATAAGAATGAATGTTGGTCCCTGCAGTCACAAAGCCCATGGCTCCATGACACAGGAGAAATTTTACCCAAACCATTTTTTTCTTTTTAATTCTATAATACCTAAGGTTGAGATAGCTGTATGTGTCACTTAATATAAAGCTGCCACAAACAGTCAAGGACAAGAAAAAATAGCAGCAGGAGATTAGAAGCTGTGACTGTTGACCTCAGTTCCACCTTTTAATACCTCAAAAGGGAAACTGATAGAGCAGCAAATTCCTAGTGTCCTTTACCTCGAATTTAAGTATTTGTATACTCACTCTCCTGTAATTCCTTTAGGGGAAAA